AATTTTTCTTCGTCCCACGCTCGTGTCATGTTGATTAATTCACCTTCACATTTCATTACCGAACTTAAAATTCACCATCTTTATTAACTTATCACTAAATGGAACTCTTGTCACGTAGCTACCTTTGATATCGAAGTAGGTGTCGCTGATCGATTAGTTGTGACACCAACTCCGCCATTAACAGTACGCGCCACAGCAGAGGTAACTGGCGATGGCTTGGCGCTGGCGATCAGAGGCGTGGTAGTTGTCACCTTTGCAGGAGAAGCTACTGCTGCTGTCGCAGCAGGCCTCGTAGTAGTTATCAGTGGAGATACAACAGCCACAGGGGTACTGGTGGACACTGATGTGGACACCAATGGGGTTGTCACCGCCGAGACAACAGGTGTTGCAGTCACTGCTGTCCCTTTGACAACACCTGCAGTCGTAACCTTCGGTACTGCCGATCTTGACAGCTGTGTCGATGACGAAGGCGCTGTTGACTCGGCAGCTGTTACCCTGGCCACACTGACTACAGACTGTGTTGGAGTTGGAGTTGAAAGTGTTGCTGTTACAGCAGTGGTTTTGGGTTTAGGTAAGGTAGTGCTATCTACTATTGTTGTCTTGACAGCTTGCACGGTTGATGTAGCTACAGTGGAGGGTAGACTTAACGTCACAGCACTCCTGGATGTTATCGTCTGTTGCACCTGAGATTTGATAGGTGAAGGAGTGGGAGCTGCAGTAGGTGTTGATACTGCTGTGGAAGCCACTGTTCTCAAGGCAGCAGCTGAAGTCTCTGCCACCGTTGTTTTAGTGTCCTGCTTGACTACTGGGGTGTTCTGTTTGTTGAGTGAAGTAGTAGCCGCTGCAGGGCTTTGTGTGGAGACAGCCGTTGCCAAGGTTTTCTGCTCCTGTCTCTGTGAAACCTGGAGAGGGGGAGGCCCCGAGGTAGAAGACACCACAGGTGAAGAAGGCATCTTGTTAGAAGTGGTACTCTGTCCAGCTGCTGCTGCTGGTGTACCAGAGGTAGTAGTCATCACTGGTTTGGAGGTTGACAACATTGTGGTTGTGTTGGCTGCAGACCTGCTTATACCAGGGGTGCCTTGGGTAGACACTGCTGTGACCTTCTGCAAGGGTGGCGCTGAAGATGACGATGACACCAACTGTGCTGTATTGGCTGCCTTCACAGGTGAAGCCCCAGCTATCTGCACAACAGTTGGTGTTCCTAATGTGGACCCCTGGAGTCCTGTAGCCACCTGCTGAGTCTTGACGTTTTGCAAGGTAAGCTGCACAGGAATACCACCTGGACCTACAGCTGTCAACTGGCCCTGAGGACCTACCTTAAGCTGTGTTCCTGGGGGTAGGTTAGCAGGAACAGTCACTGGGAGCTGCTGCCTGATCACCGCAGCCTGTCCAGTACTTCCTGCCATGGCAGTAAGCGTCAACCCAGTCGTACCAGGCATTTGTATAGATGTTGTGACAGGAATCTTAAGCACTGCTGTCCCTTGTACACCTGCCCCTCCACTCTGCACTGGCAATCTCAACACTGTACCGGTTGTCCCTGCTCCAGTTGTGACAGTACCACCAATTGGTGCAGCCATGCGGACAATAGTCGCACCCTGGAGTTGCGTGGCTCCAACTTGACTTGTGACTAGAGTGACTGGCGCGGTTCCCTGAATTCCTGCTCCTTGAAGACGCATGACAGGAATGCCCTGAGCATTCGTGATCATGGTGGCTTGGACTCCAGGAGGAAGTTGCACTGGTGCTCGTAACAATGCCAGTCCCTGATTGGTTATTGTGGCAGCTGAAGCTGCTTGACCTTGATTAACAGCCTGGCTTTGGACTGGTGCTTTAGCACCCGACACAGCTGTGGTAGCTGTTGCCATTGACTGAGCTGTTGAAGAACCTGTCGACATAATTATGGGAGCCTTTATCACACCAGGCACGTGACTTGCAGCTTGATTCTGTTTCTGTGTAACAGCGACAGGCTTCACAGGCGTTGTAACTGATGGCACTTGTGGCTTAGGGGACTGTGACGGTGATTGCATTACAACTTTTGGCATTCCTACTTGGCTAGTTGGTGTTGGTGTAACAGAAGGTGAGGAAGTCATCTTTCCGTTTGCTGGAGAAGCCTTCGCAGGTCCCTTTGGAGGGGTGGTCCCAGACAGAGGGGTTTTCATGATCCCAGTACTGGCAGATCCACTTGGTGTTAAAGGAGGTTTGACTGGTGTGACTGGTGGTGTGGGAGGAAGTTCGTATTTCTGTAACTGCAGCAGGTAGGCATCAGCTGACAAGAAAAATGATACTTTTTTGGTGTTATAATGTATGGACAATCATTGCTATTACAGTGGGCGATGGTCAATCTCAGCAAGCAAACATCTGTTATTTCAATGTCACTCCACAGTGGAATAGTTGACACTGCGCAAAATGTGTTACTGTAACCTAGTTCATAAATAAGCCACACTAAAGTTCTTACCGGTTGGTACAGATCCCCAACACACTTCCAGAGTGGTGGTACTAGCTCTGACCAGCTGAACCCTACTAGGAGGTGGAGGTTTTTCTGAAGTTAAGGAAAAAGGATTAAAAAATTGTACAGCAAAAGATAGGGCTGTGCTCTGGAAGCACCTGGATGCCACAGGCTACTAAATTTTACCTTTGGAAAAACTTACTTTCTTCATATAAGCTTGAGTGCTGAGCACACATGATTTCATGGTGAGGGACTTTTGGCCATTGGGCTCCTCAAAATTTTTCTTAGACCACAGCCTTGCAGCTGAAGGGAATCTTTAAAGTGCAATGATTCAACTTGCTACAGATTGTATCTTACACATTCTGAATAGTGACAAAAATTATACAAAACTTAAACAGGCACACAAATCACACACACCTGTTTCAAGATACCACAGGTCTTTGCAGCACACCTTTCAAACAAAAGAGAAAGAAAAAAAAGCACCTCAAACCAAAAGTTTATTGCTGCCTTCCTTGAGTGAGTTCTACACACAAAGTACTCTACATGCAGTGTAACGAAAAATTTATGAACAGTCCCCCAAGAGGAATTGAATTTAAAAGACAAATCCTCAAAGGGCTTAGGGGCTAAAAAGAGCTTTCACACTAAGTTTAGTTTAGTTTAACACGACACCCAGATTTTACAAGCCACATTGTAATTAGTAGTCCATGCTGTTAATGAACTTTCCTTAGCAACTGAGTTTGTTAGGGTTGAGGTACAAACGAAAAAGAGGTTCATATTCTTTGTAGCTAAGGAGGGTGCAATGTCCTCATGGATAGCCTACTGGACAGCCAATTCAGAATGGGTTGACTTGATTTACACTACACTTTAAAAGATAATTTGTGCTGCTTCCAAACATTTCGCAAACCTGATTATTCCAAGCTTTTCTGTAGCCATCTCTGCCACTCCACATGTACAATCTAGTATTGATCTGATCAAATCAAACAAGATATAAACCTGATTAAGAGAAGTTTACTTCATTCATGTTGTACATTCATATGCATACAGAAGAAACCCTTATTGCTTGTGTCATACCAAGAGACTGAGCAACATGAAACTGTCTGGTAAGGTATGTAATACGAATAAATATGTTAATTCACAAATTATGTAATTATTGCATGGTGAGTACATGTATGCTGACATGATGTGTCACATACACAACACATATTCATTCTTCTTTGCTGATAAAGATTTAATACTGGAGACTTCTGGCAATGAAATAGAAAGCTTATGTTCACACACAAATCTAAGACTCACAGCTACACTGCAGTGTCCTGCTCTCGCTCTTGGAATGGAATCATCATACTGATCCATTACCACATTTTCCCAAGCCATGGTTTCTGTAAAGAGACAAACAACACAAGTTATGGCTTCTATATCGGTCCTTTGAAGAGAGAAGTTAATATGACTGGGTCCATTGTTAGTTATATAAGAATGCAGGAAGGGAACATGAAACACCCAGCTGACAAAATTTCACAGAAGCTGTGATATAACTCAACAATGAATGGGAACAATGCGAGCTTTTAATCTTGTGATACATATAAGCTATGTGCATTATAACTCTGACAATGAACTATGCACTTCACATGATCCATTTAACAAATTGACGTCAGCTTTTTATGCGTCTGTCCTCTTATTGATGATAAATTGCATCATAACATTGTCAAAGTGGCTGCGGAACCAGCTGATGATAAAAGTGGCAACAAAAACAAATGAACAATGATACAAACAATATTAATAGTGAAGACAATACATATTAATTTTCTGAACAGCATCACGAAGCATAAACACTGCAGTAATGCCCAATACAAACCTAAATTTAAGCACGCTAGAGAGTTAGTGCACTTCCACTCTTTTTCATCTTGCCGTCCTTTTACCTCATCCATTACAAGTGGAACCCATCCTCCAAACACAAACATTCTAATAAAAATAAACAATGTTTATCTTAGAGTCTTTCATAGAGACTTACCAAGTATATATGAAACACAAACTAAAATTGAAAAAAAAAAGATCATCATACAGGAAAGAAAAGTAATGGCAAGCGTTTCTACCAACCTCTTTCCAATAGTGGTGGCAGAGTGCAGGCTTCTTGGAAGAGGAATCATATTGTGGATTGCTGGTTTTGACCATGTCATTGTGTCTGAAGAGTCAAGCAAATCAAGTTTAAAACATCACTTTGAAGATTAAATGTTTGGCATTTCAGAAGAAAGTGTTACAGTACGACTACTCAAAGCGGGCCATCTAGAAGAAAGCTAACCAATCAAAATATAAACTGAGAACAATGGACTAGTACCTTTCTTTTGACAGCAAGTAATAAGGGTCTGTTTGACAGGAAGACCTTGGTACTCCTCTGCATCATATGCACCCTTAGAGATTCAGTCCTTGATGGCAAATTATCTCAATTATAAATCTAGCTTGAAAAATTTAGCTTTTTTTCAAGTTTCCTGAGAAGTTTCCTTTCTTTAAGTTTCCTGAGAGGTTTGCAACACTTCAAACTTTGTTGAATTTTTCAGTTTTGTTAAGAACTATTGTTCATATTGTTCAATGTTATTGGTTTACCTAAGAAAAAGATCACTATTATTTGTTCTCAAGTAACTTTCTGATTGCTTAACTTTGTTCCAAATGGCCTGGTTCGAGTAGCCGCACTGCATTTATGAGCACTTTCAAGTGACATTTCACATACCAATATCCAGTTGATGCAGATCACCCAAGCGACAGCCACTCATTCCACCATAAACAATAAGCCTGGGTCTCTTATTGTCTGAGTCAGACGTAGCAACACAAGTGTGTGACTCGCGAGGAGATGGTGTAGTACCAACTGTAGTTGGCATCTCCCATTGTAAATTATTACTACTCCGTATATCGATGACATAAAGATCATTTAAATATCTGTGGAAGGAATAACAAACATTATAACATAACTAAAGCAAAGCACGCGCTCTGATTGGTTAGTTTAGCGTCTACTATTTGCCCATGGGTGTACGCTGCTGACGTGTGTGCTAATGTTTACAAAGCAAATCCTTTGACAGACATTGTTTCCAAAGTAATGGCCGAAGTCCTTCTCCCAGAAATGCGAAACTGTCTTCATAGTTGTGTGAAGATGAAACTTTATCGAGTTATGGGTGTGCAGTAGGTTGTCATGATTGAATTTTTGCGTGCTTGTTTTCTCTTGTCATGTAAGGCTACACGAACATTTTTTGTGATGTAGCTCAATAAAAGGACTTCTGTTGTTCCAATGTCTCAATGTTATGTTATAAAACAAATGGTAAACGCCAAAGCGTGCACTATTGAGTTAAGGATGCACTTGGGAGGTTTGCTAAGCAGTCAAGAAGCTAGAGTAGCACGAGGCGATAGCCGAGTGCGACTCTCACGCTTCTTTCATGCTTAGCAACCTCCCGCGTGCATCCATAACTCAATAGTACACGCTATGGCGTTAACCATTTGTTAATTTTAGCAGTATAAATGTTAAGACCAATTTATACAGTATTACTTTGCCAATTGCAGTAAGCTTGCAACAAGTTCTTGGTAACTATAACCAGAAACCAAATCTCTTGTATGGATAACCATATCATATCAAAGATTTTGTTATGCTTCTGTGAGCTACACAGAAAATAACAAAAACTAAGGTAATAGCATTGCTCAGTGGTGTCACAACACGGTGGCTGACATTCAATTTTTCATTGGTTTTAGAAGATATGATTTAGTGGCTTCTGTTCTCCTGTAATAAATACTTGCATGACAATAAATTATTATTCAAGGATTATTAACTGTACCTGGGTATATTATTCTTTGGATCGTCACTGTCATTGGCCAGACCAGCAAAAAGATAAGCTTTGTGACCAACAGTGGTAAAACTGTGCCCAAGGCGAGGGCATGGATAAACTCCTGGAGACTTAGGTGCCTTTGGTTTCAGCTTTTTCCATTCCCACCTGCTAGCTTGTAGCTCATACATCTGAAAACAAACAGAACAGTCTTTATTATATAGACAAAAGTGTTAACTGGAAAATACACTGTTTGCAAAATTGGTATGAAACCACACCCAGGACCTGAGTCAGCAGAGTGGCGTATTTTCCATATCCTCACTAGTAAAGATGTTATGAAGTCACTTCCCACTTTTTCACGGTTGATTGTGCAAACAGTAAGTTTGCCGGGATAATAAAAAACAAATTACACGGTGGATTAAAGATATGAATTTTATTTTCTTAGACATATTAAATAAATAAAAAATAAGACAATTTATAATATTTAGAGATGAAGCTACATCAGCCTATGCTGGTTTTCATGCGGATTCTCAATTTTGATCAAACTGGAATTTGGAAACATTCCTTGTCATACAGGAATGTACAAGGAACGCTCTCTTAAAACCAAGCCGTCAAAAACTTTAAGATAAGCATGAAAACCAAAAATACATGTATCAAGTTGAAAAATATGTTTAAAGAATGATCTTTTCCAGCAATGAAAACATGAAAACATTTTGAGAGTTTACTCTCTCAAAATGTTTTCATTTATTTAAAGTTTTGAAGCATTATGTTGGAAAGAAAAGGACACTCTCAAAGCGAAACTAGATACATTAACATAATTGTTGATAGTGAAAAGAAAACAATTTTTATGATCAAAATCTCACACGCAATTTACATGAGCTTCCAATTAATTAGCTAGTAAAAGATTCCACAGTTTATAAGGTTAAAAATGATTACAAAAAATCACACTTCAAGGTTACTTTCAAGCCAGGGTTAAATTATGAATGGAGCTCTGTGATAAGGTTTGAAATTGTTATGTTGAGCTGGAGATATTCACAAAATTGCAATAATCTATTTAACATTTGTTTAGATAATCAAGATATTGCTTGAATCCTTTTAGCTCGCTGATAAAGTGATAACAAAAACATCTGTGGCATATGGCAAGTGTGCTGATTTGTCAAGCACTGATTTTAATTTTATTATTTTAAAAGCATTTTTCCCACCAAGCAAGTAAATAATTTTTTCTTACCAATGAAAAGGAACAAAAAGTTGTAATAACTTCCTGGTAAGTACACATTTCACTTTCAAATTAGGCGAAGAATGCACTTACATGTACAAGTACATGTATGGTCAACTTTCGAAACGTACATGTATTAAATACTTCAAGACTTTTCGATGATCTGTTGTAATAAAGTAAAGATTCATTGCTTTTTCTTGACTCTGTTGATTTAGCCTGACTTGCAAATTTCTCATTTTAAATCAATGATGAAAATTTACACAGCTGTACAAAAATCCTACCATAATTGGGGCATTTAACAACATTTTCCAAAATGGCAGTATAATATAATGATTGTAAAATCATTAAAGAACTAGATGAAAACTATAAGAGTCATTTTTCAAAGTTAACAAAATCTTGATTTTTGAAAATTAGCTCTTATAAGGGTTTTCTGCTGTGTTCTGAATCCTTTTTACAGTGGAAACTCAAAGCAACGACATCCTGAAGTGCATATAAAAAAGACCCTGATATAACTTAGGATAACCACCCGTCCAATAATAGTAAAATATATGGAATTCAACCACACTATTAAAATTCCCCATATTAACAAATTCATTTTGACAGTTCCTTTTCCCTGTGTTACTTTGGGCTAATATAGAAAACAATAATAATTAATACACTTCATGAAATTTGTCAAATGGACAGTCTGATGTTTTTCTGAATAATGTTTATGTCTGCTCTTATAGTAATAGTGATAGGATAAAGTTTTTTCAATGTAACATAAGAAAAAAAAATTGCTATAACCTACATACCTTTCAATAAAAATATTTGAAACATGATATACACATATTGACAGAGCTGAAAGAATTACATGTATGGCATTTTTTAACATCAATTGAAATAAACAGAAAATATGAAACAAAACAAGAAAAGAGCAGACTTATTCAAATTCCTGCATCACGCATAAAAAGATTGTTTTACCTGCCTATATCGTTACAACAAGTAATTTGAAACAATACCAGTAAGAGAGATCTTAATTTTCCATATATAGGATCAACTTTAAAAATATTTGGCCTCTGAAATGGGGTGGAAAAAAGACAGTCAAGTCCAGTGCTATTCACAGTAGTTAAAGAAAAATCGCAGCTGATTGAAAATACTAGTTCAGTCGCTAGAAATTGAATGAAAAATTTACACAGTTCACTGGAAAGAGAGAAGTGTAGAATTAAGTTAAAAAAACACACATAGATAATGGAACGCAAAACGGAATTAGACAAATTTAACGTCTACTATATTGAACGTTTTAAAAATCATAGTAGCAGCAGGTATTCTGACGAACCCTATGAACGCTCGAAAAACGAAATATCTGAAAATGGAATTGCGAAGTGGCTTTATGGCGCTTGCGAAGAAAAAGAATTTCCGATACCGCTCGATTACACGAAGTGTAAACATACAGATTGAACGCACACGCAATCTCAGGTTAAAATTGACTTTGATTTTAAACTTTCAACGTATATATCAGACTGTGTTCCTTTTGTTAAGCCTATATCACAGTTTAACGCGCTAATCTAGCTTACTAAATTTAGGCTTGACTTAATGGATCACTTAGCAATCACAAAGAGAGACACCCAGAACTTTGTGAGCCGCTGACATCGTAAAAAAGATTATTTTTCTGCGAAAAAAAAGGAAACATGTAAGCGCTCACGCATGATAAAATCGTCCACTTCACAGAAACAAAGAAGCAACATAAATAAATAAGTGCAGTGTGTAAGCGCTAAAAAAGTGTTACAAAAGATTCAAATAAATGACAAAATTACACATCAGAGGATGTTTACCTCATTAGAATATCGCCCATACTCCACCATTCCACCGAATATAATTAGTCTTGTTCCTTCGGCAATAAAGCCGTACGCGGCGCAACCTGGAGGAATATCTCCTCGAACGGCGGGAACAAACCATTGGTTCGTCGCTGAAAAGTAAAATAACGATATTATAAGGAAGATAAGGAACACAAGTGGTTCCGCAAGGGTGCTAGTCCTCGAAAACTGCATCGCAAAAATCTGGCGCGAAGACGAAGCACATAGAGGCCGCCATGTTTCATACTCGTACGCGGCGTCTGCTACCTGTGTTATAGACGTGCAATTCGTCTACAATTCCTTCATTTCCACCTCCAAAGACAACCATTAATTCCCTTATTGCAACGGCACGATGACCATGTCTTGGCCGCGGCACTGGGCCAGTAGAATTTGTCACACGCTTCCATTTCATGGTCGCCGCCATGTTGTTGTTATACGGGCCATCACGAAAAGACAATGAATTTACCCATAAGCTACTGCGTTGTTTGCTTTTCGCTTTGCGCGCCGAGATGATCGAATCAATCGCTTCTCGAAAAATAATCGGAAAATCGATAATCACTCGAGCTTGAATTGGGTGATGTAAGATTTCTACTTCTTTCGCCGGTGAAGAGCTTGCAAAAGTATTCTTAAATCCTTGCAATCGAAAGAGTTTATACGGGAAGATTTGCTTTCCGTTTTTAACTATAGCGGGAAGGAAGTGAAAGAACTTCTTCTTCCGTCTTAGCTTTGAACGCGAAAATGAAACGAGAACACGTGTTGAGCTGTAATTTTTCAGTGTGGTACCCCAAGTTCAAGAACATTACGATCAGAAGTCGGGTAATTCCTCTTTCGAAGGAGTTTGTTGATTATTTAAAGGCTGATAACGTTGTTTTGCCTGGTCAACCTGTCGTCACGAGAGATTCAGACGAAGAAATCGAGAGCGACTCCGAAGAATGGCAGGCTTTGGACGAAGATCCAAACGAACACACGATCACAACTCCCGAATTCAATGAAATTGATTCTGCAATCAAAGAAGCTATAATTGAATTAGACGGGGCTGTCTTCCCTAAATTGAACTGGAGCTCTCCACTGGACGCTTCTTGGATTTCTTGTGATGGAACACTGAAATGCAAGTGTCCAAATGACATCTATCTTCTACTCAAGAGCTCTGATAACATATGCAGAACACTCTTTGAAACTTTCAAGCACTGTGAAGATGGAGAAGGAGCGTTGGAGAATGGCTTTGAGCTTGTACTTCGGAAATGGAAGGATATCAATCCAGGAATGGAATTCCGGTGTTTTGTGAAAGACCACAAGCTGATTGCGATCTCCCAAAGAGACATTGCAAGCTGTTATGAATTCATTGAACAAACTGAACAGGATATTTGTAGTGATATAGCAAACTTTTTCAAGGGCAAAATTGCTTATAAATTTCCTGACAGTTCTTACACATTTGATGTGTACAGATCTGCAGGTCAGAAGGTTTTACTGATTGATTTTAATCCATTTGGGGCTCAAACAGACCCCTTGTTTTTCACATGGGATGAACTCAGCGATCCTTCCATGTCCGTCAGTGATAATGATGATGAGTTTAAAGGTGTGTTTAAGTACGTAACAAGTGCAGGAGGGGTGCAGCCTAATGCATCTCACTTAAGCAGAATGCCGACTGACATTGTTGATTTAGCCTGTGGCAATGACATCAATAAATTAGTTGATCTTCTGAATTTAAGAAATTTGATTGGACGTTCTGGCGATGAATCAGATGAGGACCAATGAAAGTGGAAAATGGAAAAATGTACTACTGCACAGTCTAGACTGAAAAGAATGTCATGTAGATTTCATTTGCGCATCATTTAAATTAAGCTTTTAACAAGAGAGGTCATGTAATATACATGTACTGGTGAGGCATCCTGAAAGTTTCACAAATGCTTGAATACTGTAATTCTTGATAAAAATTACTGAAACATTGCATGAAAAATAAATTTTGTCCAATACTGCAAACCTTAATGTCCCCAGTAAGGTCTTCTGTCACATTTGACAAGACTGTAGCTGTTGAAAAGAGAAATAAAATTATGTTTTAAACACAAGAATAAACTCCTTTGTTAGGGTATTAGTCTCCTCTGCAGCTGTTATTAGGGTCGTCACACAACGCTTCTCCCCCACTAACTATATGATACCTTGGGAAATAGCTGAAACTCTTCATGGTTATTGATAGTTCAGTTCTTGCTTTCTATCCATCATCCAACAATATGCTCCTGCTCCTATTCTCGTCCACAATGACTCTCTCACAATTACAAGAGTTCTCACTTGCATTCATTTTGCAGATAGGTCTTTTTATTGTATAGAAATGCATAGTTTACTGGAAAATACACCACTCTAAAACTATGAAACTACAGCCCCCATATCTGGGACCTGAGTGGCATATTTAAATCACATCTCATTAGTGACGATATTGATGATGTCATTTCCTATCTTTTCTCTTTTGTTTGTGCAGACAGTCAGTTCTTCCATACATTAAAAAGAAAATTACACGGTGGTTTGAAAATAAGAATCTTATTTTCTCGTGTTAAAAACAACATTGTACTCACTCGCTGTACTCTTTCTTAAAATATTATTTCCATCACTCGCAAATAATTTTCATATCTCTGTGCCACCCCTAAAGTAACTCCAAACGAGTAGGACTGGAGCTGACTGATTGGCCATCTTCCACTATTCAGAATGTTTCGATGGAAGGTTTCTCATTTCCTCAGTTTGCCAAGTGAGAGTAAGCAACTGAGTTCTTTGATCAGGAGAGGAATTGCGATCAGAAGGAGTTTGAGTTATGTGACTCTTGGCGAAGGAAAGAACGTAAGATATGGTTCTAAAATAGCTAAAATGTAGCGCTGTTTACGTGAGTTCAATTTGTAAACAATATCACGTTTTTCACTAGACAGCAATAAGCTAACCTCACTTACAACGATTAAGCTGTCACTTCCAATAGGGCACTGCAGAGGCATTGTAATACATTTGTATCCGTCATAATTACGGCAAACTTACGTATAAATCCTGAAATACCCCGTTTGTTAGTACTCACTTTATGGACAAATCTCTGTGAAAGACTTACTTGTCAGAGCAAAGTCCCTGGGCCCCTGGCGGGGGGGGGGGGGGGCCCCCCCCCCCCCCCGCCAGGGGCCCAGGGACTTTGCTCTGACAAGTAAGTCTTTCACAGAGATTTGTCCATAAAGTGAGTACTANGGGGGGGGGGGGGGGGGGGGGACCCCTGAAAAATTGGGTGGCGGTGTGCGGCGCGCTTCCCAAAACCCTTGCCCCATTTATGACCATAATCTGCTATTTTCCCTTTCCTATTCATGACCTGACTAAAAATTTGATACCCTATTTATGGCCATTGCGGCTAGCACAGTTGCTCTAAACATAATTGACGAAGGGCTTTTGTTGATGGCAGTTTTGTAATTCCACATGTGAAATTATAAATTAACACTGAAACTTTGTGCCAAAATTAAGGAGTAATTTTTCACCCATGATATTGAAGGAATAATATAATGTGTATTTGCCACTTTCCTTAGTTGGTTTAACGCTTTCTAAGTATTAAAGTACTTTGTTTGGTAGAAAGGTGTACCTGTTAAAGCATGGGTAAAGGGTGTTCCTGTTGAAAAAGATGCCACAGATCAACTGCTGTCTTTGGCGAAGTTGCCAATCATCCACTCGCATGTGGCAGCCATGCCTGATATGCATCTTGGGAAGGGTGCATGTGTTGGTTGTGTCGTTGCTACAGTTGATGCAATTATTCCTGCCGCAGTTGGGGTGGTAAGTACGAACTTTAATGAACAATGATATACAAGCTTTAGGTTTCTATCTGGACTGTATGGTTATACAGGATGTTAGTCAGTTAGGGACAAATCCTCAGACTCCTCAAGTCATAGTAGATGTACAAAATGAGGCTGAGAAAGTAGAACCCAGTGATCGAAGATCTTTTAAACATATCCTTTGGCTAATAAAACAGATTTATTGAGGGTATTCTATCAATAAATGCAAAAAATTAAAAGCCATCTTTGTATTCTGAAGCTCTTCCATCCAGTCATGGCCAGAAACTTATTTGCATGGTACATGTTTGTCATGTTTAATTATAAAGGACCAAAGTCATCATCATCATCACAACATGGTGTTATGACACCAATAGTGCGAGTACATGTCCCGCCATTGTGCCCTGTATGCTGCCATGGACTCAAGATCTTGATCCATTCCATTCCATTCCATTCCATTTCATCCTAGTTTAGCATCACGTTCCACAGCATCTCTCCATCGAGTGTGACACCTTCCACTTCTTTGCTTCACATTCTCAGGCCTCCATTGTTGGGAAATCTTTGTTGACCCATAAAGGACCAAAGTTATTGTTTAGAAATTGTGGACATGAAATGTTGCATAAGATGATAATAGTTTTGTTAAGTTTCCTTTAAAGGATTATACTTGCATAAATTTTGCCAAGCAGAAGCTGTGATGAGAAATAAAGTTTTAAAAGAAATGTTTGGCAATCATTTAAAGGAGCACACACTTCTCAAGGACAGATCAAATTTAGCTTTTCGTTCACTTTTTAACTAAAGGACATTGGATGTGGAATGATGGCAGTTAGGACAACAATGTCAGCAGAACATCTGCCAGATTCACTGAAGAACCTTCGAAGAGCCATTGAACAAGCTGTACCACATGGACGAACCAATCAGGTGCATTGTAAAATACATATATTATCATATTTCCTTTATTGTCATTCTTGATACATTGTGCAGTTCCAGAAAATTTCCATACTCCCTCCACAGAAGGGATTACAATTTCCTGGGGGTTTGGGGATTCTGTAAGACCAAAAAATTAAAGATTGTCATGTATGATGCCTAATTAGTGAAATTTCCAGAGGGATGAGGGGCATCTTTTAAAAAATCCCTTCTGTGGGGGAGGTATGGATAACTTTTGGAACTACTCATTTTTATGATCAACATCTTATTTCTCTTAACAATGTCCACACACTGTCAAGTTGGCAAATGATGAGCTGTATTTCCTGTAATGGATCATGTAGAGAGGCTCCACCTGAAAGGTTTTTTTAGGGGGAGAGGCTGGAGGTATACAAATGGGCTGAGAACAAAATGATTTAAGTATAGCAGGGGTTACAAATTCACCAAATTTGGTGTATTTTAGATGAAAAAGTTGTCTGTGAGTCCAAAGAATTTCTAAAGAGAGTTACTTTGACTTTAATGTAGAGTCCAGAATTGTGTAGTAGAATTTTTTTTCTGCCAGTCAAAATTTTAATGATTGTTGGATTAAAAAAAAAATTCTTAATTGACCACTCCCCCAAAGGTGTTTGTAAGTGCCAATGGAAACAAATGATGAAACAAATACAATGTCAAAGGAACATAACATGGTTAAAAATCTCAACTAGTAGGAGGCGGACCAGTTAGCTATTTACAAGCACGGCCGAGGAGTTGAACTTGGGACTACTGAGGACAACATCAGCCAGTGGTCAGAATGGGACTTAAATCCCAGACCTCCGCATTTCAAGTCCTGTGCCCAAACTACATGTAATTGACCGCGCTGCCTCCATTTGCATCATTTGAATGAAGTTTGTCCATTGCTGTTTGTGTAACACATTTGCTACTGCTTGTTGTTTCAGCCACAATGTTTGATTGTAATCATTTTTGCAACAGTTCAATCTCCTTTGTATGCATTTTCATCTAATGGTGACATAAATTACCCACCTTCCATGACCCTGCATTTTCAAAATTGTCTACAAAATTTGTGGAGAAGGAGTCAAAGCATGAAAGGGACTACAAAGGATAAGAAAAGATCTAAACCCTGCTATAGAGAAGGGTAGGGAAAATTAAAACATACATTGGTATTTAAAAGGGCTTTTAATGGTGTAGGAAATGGATGCAGTGTTTTTCAAGATATGTGAAAGGTTTATCCATTCATTTTCCATGAAAGGTAGATTAAAGGGTTCCTTTTTCTGTCAAACATAGTATATAAAATAATAGAAAAAGATTTGGCTGTTCCCTGAATAAAACTTTGTTCAGCAGCTGTGCTCTACTCCCTTTCACTGGGGTTATGTGTCGCATTAGCATGACAAAGACTGGTGGTTTAACTCAGGGTTAAAACTTCTAACTCTTAATTTTGACCTCAGGGTGGCAAAGGCGATCTTGGAGCCTGGAAGGCAAGCGGCATTCCAGACTCTGTTGTGACAGAGTGGAATAAACTAGAGAAAGAATATGAATACATCTGTAGTCGACAACCCATGGCCAAGGCAAAGAACAATGCTAATCATCTTGGAACTCTAGGCACAGGAAATCACTTCATTGAGGTAATTATGTCGTTTGGGTTAATATACAATGTTGCTGTCAACATTGTTTTGTTCCAGAAAATATCTATACCCCTCCCACTAAGGATGTTTTGGTTTGAACCCCCCACCCTATCCCCCTGGAAATTCCAGTTTTGATTCACAGTTTCCTTTGAAAATTTTGGCTCTTGCTACCCCCCTCCTCCTTGGAATTTCCAACAGAGAGCTTAAGAAATGACGATGGTGATGCCAGGGACGACACCTGGAAAAAAATGATTTTATAGTTTACCATGGAATTATCTAGATCTGCTCACTACTTCAAGTGGTCTTAATCCCTACTCAAGCTAAAGATGTAATGCCAGTGATCAATTCCATAAGAAAATACAAAAAAATTAGCCATTGTGGTTCATGTTCTTCAAGATATGCAAAATTTGGTCATTTCACGTTGTTGTTTTGCCGAGGACGGTTATGAAATGTAGAATAATTTATAACACACTGCATAACAATTGTTCTGCTTATTAAACCTTTTGTTTAGTGAGGTTGTCATTGCAGTTGCTGTTGTGGTTTGTTTAAACTTCCTAATAATCCTCCTTTGGGTGGGGGTGTGGGTATTTTCTGGAAGCACACATTATGATGATTAGGTTTCCTTGCAGTAAAGCAGCTGGCATGTGAATAATATTGCTGATGAGTTCTGAATGATGCTTCAGTGAAATTATGCGAGATACAGTAGCTCACAAGACACCCAACAGAACAGTAAAACAGTATGTCGTCAATGATAGGATCTCCCTAGAAAGTGAAAACTGTCACTCTTTTAGGACTGGCATTTTTTCTTTGAAATTTATCTCAACTGTTTTTAATTCTCTTTAAGATGTGTCTTGACGAGGAGGACAGGGTGTGGTTCATGCTGCATTCAGGGTCACGTGGGCCAGGGAATAGGATTGGAACAGTGTACATTGAGCTTGCCAAGAATGACATGCTGAAACTAGACAAACAAGTAAAGGTATAAGCACTTTTTCAAAACTAATATCTCACTGTTATAATGTGGAAGGTACAATAACTATGACATTTGTCTAAAAGGTTGATGGTTTGCATGTAACGTTTCGTGCAACGTATTTCGCAGTTTTGTGGCTCTGTTACGGGGCAAAGTTAGTCAAATTGTGCAAAATGTTTCTAATTTGTCCAACCTACAAATATTTGTAGCAGCATTGCAAAGAGAGGGCCTGGGGGGCCGCCATTTTGTTCACAACGGTACACTGCTAGGTTACTCACTATCTACTAAACAATTCTATGAAGTGATAGTTGATGAGGCCGAGGACCGAATCAACTATCACCTCGTAGAAATCGAGAGCAAATAATGTAATTGTTTTAGTAGAATTCTAACTAGACTTTCCTTCAAATAACGATTCCAATTATTTCTGGTCTCAGTATTAAACTTCACGCTTTGGAGAGTTCGCGCGGACTGAATTGTCAATTTGGCATTTGCAGTTGTGTACGCGCGCTTATCAGCTTCTTTCAAAAATTTCGAGCTTTTTTAATTCAAGAAACCGTAAATGTCCTCCTTTTAGTCTTCTCAGGAATTTGAGTATCTATTTATTTCTAAATGTTCTTTCAAAACTTCGGAGAAACAAGGAAACGTTGCAATTTTGTCGACCACACCAAGCCACTGCACACTAATGGCCGATAGTGTGCAATGGCTTAGCCAATCAGATTGTAGCATTCGCATTAGTATCCTACATAGTAGAATTCTACTAAAACAGAATAGATAGTGATTAGCGTAGCCAATCAGAGAACGGCATTGGTGACTGAATGCTATTGGCATTATACTAAAGAGGATTGTCTCGTGATAACTGTCATGTATAGATGTACCACGTGACTTGAATATGGAGTGCAAGGATAAAAATGTGCAAGGAAAAAAAATAAATAGGGGTTATTAAAACTTTTGATGACTTTTGAAGGCGAGAAATTTGTATGGTTTGTTTCATTTTACCCTTCCCAGGTTGAAAAAGATCTAGCATACCTCAGTGAGGGCTCAAAGAACTTTGAAGACTACGTATTTGCAGTGACATGGGCGCAAAAATTTGCTCGTGTCAACCGCAACATAATGATGTCCAGTGTACTCAGAGCGGCGCATGAATGTGCAGATATGCCGCCATTTGATGTGGATCCATCGAGCAAGGCTGTCAATTGTCATCACAACTACGTCAAGGTGGAAACGCATTTCGGAAAAGACGTGTTTCTAACGAGGAAAGGAGCAGTAAGTTAGTTGTAATGCTCAAGTGAAGGATGTAGCGATGTTGCTAGTCTCAATGAATTTAAGTGTGCCCTGGTAGAACTGCATCGCAAGTGATAGTTCTTGTTTGCACGCAAAAGGAATCTGGCGTCGAGTATTTAGATGTATCTCAAGCGAGACCCCAAGTTTTCTAATTTTGCGTATTCAGACCTTTCAGTTTTCGTCTCGAGTCCCTTAATGAGACAACGAGCCTGAGTTTTCTGAGATCGGATAATGAACGAGGCGCTGCTCCGCTGAGTATCGTTCATAAAATATGAAGGCCAGTTGTCAGATAAATTAGCTATTTTAGTCCAAAAATCAGAATAATTTTCCCTTTGAACTTGAAGGTAACGCGCACGCTTATGGACAACGGCAGGAGCTAACATCGTTCCTCAAATCAGATAATGTCCCGCAGATAAGTATTCAAGTATGCGAACTTTTAGTTTTCCCGCCATACGGACGTTATTGTCGTTATTGCCGATTTAGAAATGGAAAATAGCGAAGGACGATTGTTTTGAATTTCCCTTAACCGTCAGGTTTCTGCTCGTCACGGAGAGTTAGGAATCATACCGGGATCCATGGGAGCACGGTCGTTCATTGTCAAGGGCAAAGGAAATCCTGAAGCTTTTCACAGGTATGTTTTGAAGTTTCGGAAAACAGTGAAATTTCACAGCAAATCGTCGTAAACCCGAAGAGGTTCCGATTCTTATCCTTCAATCAGAAATTGCACTTGTGACGTCAGCTCGTGTGACGTCAGCCACGCCATTGGTTCCAGCAAACCAGTGTAAACCCTTTCCTGAAGACTCCGGGCTCACTAAATGTTCGGTGCTTTTAACTGCATGTTATTTTTTATTATGCGGTAAGAGGTGGTTTCAACTTTTTACATAGATAGATAATATTAAATTACACAGAAAAATACAAGAAAAGTTGCTTTCCACGAATGCCGTGCCTTACAGAACTTATTTGAGTAGACGTTTGAATTGCCCAAGGGTCTCTGCTCCCCATAGTCACAAGGAAGACTGTTCCAAAGAATGGCGACACCATAGCTAAAGCTATTTTTGTAATAGTTTGTGCGCGGCAATGGAACATTGAGTTTATTCTCGGAGTCCCTCAGGTTATATGCGGTTTATCGCTTTTCAAATTTAGAACTTAGATAGTCCTAAAATAACCCGTGCACAGACCTGTAAACGATCGTAGCTCTTCGAATTTGCTGTTAGCAAGCTAGATTTTTCCAGCGTAGGAGTTCAAATAGGTGACCAGTATCTTTTTCGTCTACGGATGAAACCTTCGTATGTGACCACTCAAATGCAGCACTGTTTGTTATGCTCGGTCTAAATGATTCTATTTAATTTCTCCGCAGTTGTAGCCACGGTGCAGGAAGAAGCATGTCTCGAACCAAAGCCAAGAAAATGTTTACAATTGATGATCACGTGAATGCGACACAAGGCGTGGAGTGTCGTAAGGACGCTGACGTCATTGACGAAACACCAATGGCGTATAAGGATATCGATGACGTCATGGCGGCACAGAGTGACTTGGTAGACGTTGCTCACACGCTAAAACAAGTGTTATGCGTGAAGGGATGACAAGCCAAATTGGAATCTGGTCGCTTTGCCGGCTGTGTCGGTTTTGGCAAATTTTCGTCGAAGCACTCGTCAAGTTTGCGATTTATATTATCCAGTCAATGAAAAGCACGAGCACACGAGAGTCTTCCGAAACAAAGAATCACATCAGACGTACTTGTATTCCGGAAGTTATGACGCTGTCTTTGACAGGTGGCGGTCAAGAGGTAGTTATGAACTGACACTCAAGATCCGCAAAATTTACTGACAATTGAACCTCGATATCCTCGATATCTCTCTCTCGAATTTAAATATTTTCTCCATGGATATAATTTTTTAGTCATTTACTATGAGCTACCTCAAACTGTAGCTGAGAAATCGCCTAAAATTTAACTGTTCGCTAAGAGTTTAAAACCGCACATCCAGTCCCTTTGTTCACAACGGTCAAGCGAACTGCGCGTGCGTAGCCCCCAAGATAACGTCATTATTTTCTGAATCTTCCACATACAGGCCTTGAATGCCTAAGGTAACACAGGGCGCTTTCCATTCGACCAAAAATTTCGGTGTGAATTTCCGGAAATTTTCTGCATGGGACGAATGGAACAGAATTTTCCGGTTTATGCACCAGAGTGGAAAACGATAAGCCGCACTTTGTGCGCTTGGAATTTTTCAGGGACTTCTAAGTTAAATCGCAAATATAGTAGCTCACAGAACACTGATCCGTCGACACGGCGACTTTTTATAGCCCATGACAGCAGGGACTTCACAGAAACCACAACGGCAGCGAAAACGTCGCAAAACAAAGGGTTTAATGAGCGGTACAACGCCTCTGCACGCGTTATAAATCTCTGTACATTTCTTAGCCAACCTATGCAAAACAAACAAGTTCACCGCGGGGGCACTATTTTTGTTGGAATTAAACGCTTTCTTGACGAATTTATCTCTTGGTAGTATTCATCGACAGACAAGTGGCAAGTAAAATACTAATCCATTTTCGAATACGCGTCGCCGTCATCTTTGTATGGATGATCGCGGTGATCGTGGCCAAAAGAACTCGCGCTGAATAGAAAGTTGCGAATTTAAGTAATTTCCGAAAAAGAGGACAACCTCGCGAGGTGTACCCAAATTTTCGAAAAAAAAATTTCTGTTCCATTTGATTTTCGTTCTGGAATTTCAGGATTTTTCGGTTGAATGGTTCGCTTTTCGGAAATTTAACAATTTCCGGATTTTCTGGAACCCTTCCTAGGAAATGTCTGTACCATTTGTCCCCGTTTCGAAGATTTCGGGATTTTTGGTTGAATGGAAAGCGCCCACAGCCTCTGAAAAGTCAGGCCTTATGCGGGCATGTGCATGGAAAATTGAATAATTGTCATCCAGCTAGTTTAACAGCTTGTAACTTGACTTACCTGTGCTCGTTTTTCAACGACTCTTACAAAAATCTGGCTCTCACATTTTCCCTTCAAACCCTTACAAAAATCCAGGCAAGTTAAAAACCGGAAGTGGTGTTTGATTTTTGGTTTGACCGCTGTGAAGTTCTCCTGACAGTTAGCATCATTACACTGGGTGTGGAAGCTTACCACCGCGGCAATGTAGGGCCTGCGGGCCATAATTTATATCATCGTCCAATTTAAACTATTTAACACGGTTCGTTGGCTGTTATATCGAATTGTATCCAAAATATGCGAGCTCAGCTTCAGACACCGAATCATAGTCGGATTTTTTTAATCAAAACAATTTTCGAGGACGTATCAAGTGGTCCGTGAAAATAGATTCAAATCTATTCGAATTTGAAGGCTATGCGATGCATAAAACAGGCCTAATGAAAATGTAGGAATATATCCCAGACTAGGAATTATGAACTGGGTCTAACGTTAGGAATATTGTAACCGTTTTCACAAGCTGGCATTAAATTTATTAAGACTTATTTATTGCAAACTGCAGCGTTGTTTGCTCTTCACCGCCGCTTAACGACAGAAGTTTTCTTTCAGCAATCAATAGATATCCACTTGTTGGCACTTGATTAGCAAACGGTGACTAAAATAATTCACAATGCTGGCCCTCTTTGGTCTGAGCTCGGTGCGCGTGGAGTTATGGGCCTGTTGTACTGGTTTCGCGACCTAACCATTAAGTACTGCGCGCTACTAGTCAACGATAAAGTGGAAAGTGGAAATAACAAGATAATTCGTATAATGCAGAAGGTTCCTTCGAGATGTGACAATGGGCGAGGTCAAATTAGTGTTGAACTGTATATATCGAAACACTCCGTTGTGAAGCATTTTTTCAGAGGAACTAAAAGGGAGAACGGCTTATTCAGCTTACTGTTTTAAAATAAAAAGAAAATAGATTTGACTCAAAAATCTGACTGTGCAAAGAGCTACAAAAAATCTAAGAATGAAAGTGGGGATGATAACTCCAAAAATATATATATTGTTCCAAAGACAGCACAGAAAATACATCATTCTGTTCTTATTAAATAGCAATTCAGCAAAGCTATTGTATTACGTATAAAACTTAACGTGGCAGTCCAAACTGAAAGCCAAAAATACAACCGCTCATAGCTGTTTCGGCCTAGCTGGGTCTGTAGCAGAAAAAAAATAAAAGATGGGGCAACCAGCACGAAGCTGACGAAGGCTAGTTTTCTACTAAACGCACATGGTAATGACCTCAGATGAAACTCAAATCCAAATGTTTGCGGAATGCACGACGCGTGACTGTGAACAAAAAGTGAAAATGCGAAATATCATGTGGGTGTCACAATAAGGGAATTGAGGACAGAAAAAACCGTCCTGCAGAAGATATATGGCCAAAATCATGCTAAAAATGAACAGCGAGCGATTCTTTTGGACGAGGTTCATATCGTTTTTATCTTCATACATATTCAAAGTCGAATCCTTGCGCTAAGGAATTAGAATGGACCAGTCCACGTATGGTTCGTCGTTTAGCTGCCAATATTAGCGCGCCCCACGCAAAAGCAGCCATAAAAGAGGTCGGTTATGGATCGTCTTCGTTCAGGATTCGGAACCGTAAACGAAAGCCACCGGAAGTTTGACTTGAACCCATTTCCACACTATTTCCCCTGTTTTGACGTCACACCTCTGCACCAGGCCTCTGTGGTGAAATAACACTGGGCGACAGTAATGCTCACAAAAAGAACAAACGGCCTTGGTCAGGAATCGCGGAACACGATTTGGGTTGTCATCTAGGGCCCATCTCCAAGGGCACTTGCTGGTGCCTGGCATTGTCACGTCACGACTAACACGTCTTGGAATTTCTAGCGTTGTCTGCAATGAGGAAGAAGGCTTCTCGACAAACAGGAAATCACGACGGAGAAATGCGAGTTTCTTTCGAGCATTTTGATGGATGTTGGGGCAGTTAAGCGCTTGTAGAGAAGAAATCTGGGTTATCAACATAACGACGCAAAGCTTCTGAAATGGAAGGAAATAATTTTAAGTAAAGAGCCGCACACTGTTCGTTGCGACAAAGAGAAGAGATTTAACACAAAATGAGATTTAGCAACAAAAAACGTTTGAACATATATTCATACGTCGATGAAGTTTACAAAAAATTGCTTGTTTCGTTTTTAATTTGACAGAAAAGTTTCGGGAAAAAGCCCTTTCAGACTAATGAGGGGTTTTTCCCAAACTTTTTCTGTCAAAGAAGAAACGTAAACTCTTTTTCTAAACTTTATCGACGAATGCAGTTTCATTCAAAGTGCTACGCAGCAACCGTGATTTGTTTTTATTTCAGTTAAACGTTGAACATTTTTGCCCGATCTTTCGGTTTACTGCTCCCCGTCTCCCCGCTGGCCGGGTCTGCAAAACGAAGCCTCTTCCACTGGGGTTAGAAGGGGAAAATTTATTACAGCAAACGTTTACGACAGTTAGGCTTTATTTACGCAGCTGTTTTAGTTACCTACATTACTGCGATGGTCTCTCAAATCTTCATTCAGCAGTTCAAGAGTATATTTTATATATTTACTTTTATTTCTGTGTGTATGATGCTTACCGAAAGAGATCAAATAAAATAAAACAAGGCATTTTAGCTGCTATGTGAAGTGAAGGAGAAAAACAGATAAAAAAAGGTAATTCTTTTCGGTCTTTTTTTTAACCCGTCATAACGAAAAACTGAAAATCAAACACTAACAAACAATCAAAACTGTAGATACACTCACCTTTCCACAAAACAAATTCATTTTCATGCGATCCACAGTTTGTATGTCTGTTTCCTTTGCGGTGTAACTTGAAATAGAAAGAATATTTCTATCCACTGCCAATGAAACTGTGATTATTCCAACTTCATGTTACGTCTCGTTACGTGTCATAGCTTTGTTCAGTAATCAGCTTGCCACGCCAGAATAGTATGCTCTGTACAAAGAATATCTTGAAGAATAGTTTCTATTTTAAAACTCCGGTTTCGATATTGGCTGCCTCAAGAAGCAATAGTCCCACCAGTGCCGAGTAGGTTGGTTACGTAATAGATCATAATTTCACTCACAGTGACGCAAGTTTCATATAAATGGGTTATTGACCAGGACGGATATTGGCCAAGGTTTATGGACTGGCACGATCCATCTTAATAACCTAAAAAACTTGGTCAATAACGAATTTATTATATGGCATTTAAAACATAGTTTACTTACGGGAGAAACGGGCAATCCCGAGCGGGCGAGATATCGCGGGTAGCTAATGGCAGCACAGGATTTGGTTCTGCTTTCTCACAGAAAGATAATCCAGTTAATAAGTTTATTCTGACCACATTACTAGCCGAGAATTTGAATGAAACAAAATTGAAGATATTTCTGACATAAAGAAAATAGTTTGCGACGAGTTTGCGCATTTTAAAGCGAGCTGAGACGTAAGTCTCGTTTAAAAACCTAGAGGCAAATGCACGTGCACAACTGTGAAAGTTAAGTACCTGTTGATAGAGAAAGAGAGATCAGATTACCAAGGAACATCAGGGTAGTTGTCGGTGACAGTTTCTTTGCAAAAGGTTCCCAATTCAACCTAAATTCTTTGCTTCCTTTTGTAGGAGAAATTCATTCCAATTATACTTATCTATATGCGTTAGAAAGCACTGTAAGCGAAAAAAAAAAGCTCTACCTTTCTAGCGTCTCGGTTATTTATAATTACAGGTGGGAAATAAAAGCATATGTGCGATATTAATTTGCCTTTCGAGTGGTATACTTCGCCTCGGAATTTTTTGTCCAAAATCTTTAAAATCTCTAAGGGCGGGTGTTATGCCCGCACCACTCAGGATAAACAAATCGACATGTAGCGTTTCAGTTACGTTTCCCGTTGACGAAACAACTGAACATCTGCCGGCTTTCTAAATAGGTCTAAATATACTTCTTGGTAGCTACCAAACAGTATATTTAGAGCCTTAAACGCTGAAAGATCTATTTTGACAACAAACAACTTGTTGAATTTGATGGGAGTAGTACTGAAAAGCTTTTTTGATGTTCTAGAAGCTGTCATAGCATTGCTGTTTGTTACGTAATACTTAAAGTGCCACTAACTCCCCCCCCCCAAATTTTTTCCTTTAATAAAATCTACTAGTTTCCGTGATTACTTCAGCGAAAAAATTATCTCGATTGATAAAATCCCTGCGTTTCTACAGGCGTTTAAACATGTAATTTCTATGTTCACGACCGCGCAAAGTGGAATCTGGGTCGGGCTATTAGTGACGTCACTTCGGGAACCGAGCTAAAACACTCGAGAGACTTTTGACTGAACTTCGAGGGCAGTTAAAACATGTTTGGGTTATTTGTGATTCATATTTTATCAAAACTGGACAGAAACTTTAAGTGAAAGAACTGTATCATTTAGCATTACAATTCGGAGTCCAGCTACGATTTGGACGGCTGCGATGTACATATTTTTATTCCATTTCGAAGTTCGGGTGACCAGTCGAGATCGCCGCGTCGTATAATTATATTCAGGCCGGGATGGACAATTTGCCGGTCCATATGGGTTATATAGGTACAAATAATGACTGAAGAGTTAGCTTAAAGCTCTTAAAGAGTTATAAAGATGTCAATGAACACAGAGTTGGTAATTTGATCTTACGGAACGTGCAAATGTCGGAGTGTCAAAACATTTTTACATTCAAACATTAATTCCCCAGAAATACAAGTTAAAATGCGATGCAGTCGAACTCCACTCCTGCCTACTTCTCCGGATCAATGACTGAAAATAGTTTTAACATAAGAGATAAGCAGAGATGTCGGCAAACAATATTCGAAGGTGAGGTAACTTTTCGCTTCGTTATTGTCGACCGACCGTAGTATATGTATAGTCAATTACTGTGTACGAACACAAGCTACGCAAATTTGCGTATTTCGTATTAGTGAAATCATAAAATCCTTCGACAAGATCTTGAATGAGGTTCAGTATACTTTCAGTTAAATGAATACATTTCTACTTCACTGTTATTTTGAATGAAATGTCCATTTTACGCACGCTAATAATTTGGGAGTCCTCGACTTGTTAGTTTGCGTCTCGGTTGACTGACAAGCGCATTCTTCTTTCAGCACGACAATCTCCGTCGGTAGCTATGGAGTCGAATCTTAATCGTTTGTTTCACTTTCCTCAATATATTTGTAAATGCTTGATCCATTCTAAGGGCCTCTTCATATGAGCCCGGTAACCGGGCTGGCTTGGTTACCGGGACGAATTTTGTTGTCTGTTCATATGGGAAATTTCGGCCCGGTAGATCGGGATGAAATCCAAGAAACACAACCAAAATAGTGGACTATAAATTTGTATCGTTGGCGGCTGTCGTAGCTTTCTGGACTCTTGTAACTTTACTAATAAAGCTAATTCGCATACTCCCAATGTGGAAATACATACAAGACAAAAATTATGCCATTTGGCCGCTATGTTGCGAAAGCGAAGCTATTTTGTCGAAAAAGTTTCGTCCCGGTTACCCGGGCTGGAGTGTTCATATGGAAGAATTTTTATCCCGGTTACCGAGATCTCGGTCGCAAAAACCGGGATCTCGGTAACCGGGCCAGCCCGGCTTCTCATATGAACACATCGAAATTTTTACGGAGGAAAGAGTGGCGAGGCGAGATCTCGGAAACCGAGCTAGCCCGGTAGACCGGGCTCATATGAAGAGGCCCTAAGTTTGTAATTTACATATATTTCGTTCCTCAAAGACGAAGCTAAAAGAACAAAACAATTCTGTATTCGGAATGGCCATTGAGAAACACGGCCGGCTTACCGGCGACGTCCGGCGTGCGTTTGTTTTTATTAAAATCCACAACTACATAGCTACTTTACCAGTTCGAAGCCTCAACAAACTTCTTCGCGTCGTTGTAGAACGTAGGTTTCGTTTACTATTCGTTGAGACAAGTCTCTATTTCAAGTACAAAAAACGCGATGCATTTAATTTACCGTGTAATTTCCTCACCTATAGTTTCGTCTGGGACTCGGAGGATCGTTTGCGCTCGAAATAATGAGATGGCTACCAGCTTATCCCAAATTCGTGTCTTATGGAGTACCTTGACAATTTCAAGCTTTCCACTAGAGATAGAGAAGAATACACAGGCAATGAAAATCTCTAGGTTTTTACAGTAGCGGCGAACCCGAGATCGAAGAAATCCCGGCTTTAGTTTCGCACAGATCAGCCCACTTCTTTGGTCTTTTTCTCGTTTCTGCTAGAGTTTCATTGAGATAGAGGCATTGAATGAAGAGGAATACTCTATTCTACGCATCCTATATTGCTACACTCTCCAACAACATATCTTCCTTGCATTCTGCAACGATTTTGACACAAACTATCGCATGTCGCATACATTCTTCTCAGAAACAAAATACAGTGGAACCTCGATTTAACGAACCTCTATTTAACGAAGTCCTCGATATAACGAACGATATTCTATGTCCCGGCCAAAGTTACAGTAAAATGTATGGAATAGAACCTCGATATAACAACCCTCGATATAACGAATTCTTCGATATAACGAACATAATCCGGAAGCCCAAACGTAAAATCTACCTCGA